TAGGTAGGTAGGTAGGTAGGTAGGTAGGTAGGTAGGTAGGTATGTGCATAATTACCACTTAACTTGTCAAGTTAATTCATCATCTTAAGGTTAAGTGATCTTGAGAAAACTGAGAGGATTCGGCTCATTCTTAAGGGGTAGCATTAACTCTTAAAGGTGAGTGTCATGTGACTAAACCGCAGACATCTGCTTCGTACAGGATTGTTTGTCTGAGACTTTTTTTATATAACTGGAGCGGCGACCTGCAGTAACGGGACACCTGGCGCATTTCAGGTCGTCTCCGGACCGGTTTCCCGGACAAAGACGCCACCTGTCTCACAGAGAGGATGAAAACTGAGAGGAAAAGTCACCCCCCCACTCGCCCCCCCGTAAACACACACACATTCTTCAGATCAGTGCAACCTGCTTTTTCAGAGTTTACTCATCTACCACCATCTCACCTAAGAAAACTCTAATGGAGATCGCATTGTTCTGAATTACAGCTCGCTTTGATCCAATCTGCTTTTATCCATTTTTTTCGGCTCATCTCTGTGGATTTAACATGGTCATTACGACCGGCACAGAGCTGCATTTGTTCATCCCCACGCTGCTTTATCACCCCCCCCCCCCCCCCTCCTGTGCACAGTCAAAGCTCCCTCTGTGCGGACTCTGCTGGGTTTGAATTACCTCTGTGCTCCTCTCCCACCCGTCCCTCCCCGTTTGTTCATCTTTTCTGTGTTCTCTCTGCTCAGGAGGGATTCAAACTCGGACACAAACGTGACAAGAGGGAATTATCTAGCTTTTCCCAGTCCGTTTATTAGTCGCCACCTGCCGGAGCATTGATGGGGAACGGGAGAGAGTTCGTGAAACAGGAAAGTGGGACGAGTTTCTGTCTGTTTTGAATCAGGTGGATTCTGAACTATGTCGTTTTTCTCCACTAATACGAGCGAATTGTCTCTCTGTCTCTGTCCTATTTTTCAAGTCGTCTTCCTTTATGTCCCTACTCCTGTCCGCCCCTTTCTTGTGGACTCTAAAGTCCAGATTTTTCCTCTCCACGTCAAGCCTAGACAGCACGCAATCCCTCCTTCCTGTCAGGTAATTAGTGCTTTTCTGGAGACTGCCAAGCTGGCCCGGTATTTCGCAGCATCTTCATCTCCAACACCTCCCTCCCCCTCTCTTTCCTCCTCCTCCTCCTCCTCTTCCTCCTCCTCCCGGTTCAGTCCAGACCTGCCACCTCAACAATTAGGCGCCCCAGACGCTCTGTCTCCAACACGCTGGAGCTAACGCCAACTCGCCACATCCAGAGACGGAAAATAAAACCCTGACAGGTGGGAGAAACTAAAGAAAAAAAACCTTTAGAACAAAAATAAAAGGAGGGCGACATCTGCTTTTTATGGACATTTTTCCTCAGGAATCGTGAAAGTGAGCGTGAAGTTAGGATGAGACCGTGGAGAGCATATTTAAAAAACAGCTTCCCACAAGACTGGTGCTGATCCAAAAGGTGACAAAAACTACAAGACGTCGAGACTAATTCCAAACGAAGGGCTTTGAATGCAGTGAAGAAGGAAGGATGTCCATAAAAACAGATGCATGAATTAGAGCTTTGTGAGATTAGAACAATTTTTTATCTAAATAATAAGCTCAAAAGGCTCAAAACCCAAACACAACAATGGAGCATTTTGACATTTTTATGGAGTAAAACGTCTGATCTCCGACTAAAAAGACAGATTTCCCCAAATTGAACCGTGGACGTTCTAGAAGTGGACCAAAGTGGTTTTGGTCTGGACCGAGACTCGGTTTGGACCTCATCTGTCAGTGACGTCAGCGGAGGCCCTGATGAGGGATGTGGCTTCAGACATTTACAGCCCTGATGTTTATGCAGACACTTTTATCCAAAACAACAGTCGAAAATATACATATGTATCTCCCCCTCAGTGGGAATTGAACCCATGACCTCCTACGTGACGGTCTGGGACACTCACCACTAAACTAACCCCTAACTGTTTAAATCAACTGGACTGAGTCCCCTTGAAGGAGCCCCTCATCCAGTCATGAGAGTCTATAAGTAAAGGAGAACCTCTTGGGGAAAGGCCCACGTCTGGTCAGGCCTTTTGAACCAACCCCTCTCTGATGGGGGCCTCCGCCGGTGGGTTAGGGTTAGGGTTAGGGTTAGGGTTAGGGTTCCCGAGCCTCTCCGGACTTTAGAGAAGGCCTTCCCGAAGCAACGAGATCGACACTCTGACCCGGAGAAACAGCTGGCGACGGTCGCCGGGACAACCGGCATTCCTTCGCTCGCAGTAATGAGCGAGGGAGGGATGAAGGGAGGGAGAGAGGGATGAAGGGAGGGAGAGAGGGTCCGTCTGCATCCACCGACACCTCTAACTCCTAATCCACGCCGTCAATATCTCATTCCCTCATTTTGGGGGTCATTTTCTGCCTCTTTACACGACTGGGAATTGACCAAAAAACTCAGAATGCCTCTTTTAGAAGCAGGCAATGATTCAAAGAATGATACAAAACAAAGAAAAGGGGAGAAAACTGCATCCCCTCTCCTTCAAAACCTTAAACCACTGCTACCACTCCTCCTCCTCCTCCTCCTCCTCCTCCTCCTCCTCCTCCCCCCATGCCGATGTGGC